CTAGAGACCCACTAAATCTTGCAGAGGTTCAGATCCAGAGGCCAGGGGAACAGAGGACCAAAGGACCCGGGGCCTTACGGTCGCCTCACCTCTTCAAAATTTTACTGGCGTGCTAGAATGGAATGGCTTTCTGCGCTCTAAACTTTACTACTGTACATTCGGGTGGCTCACAGAAGGGCGGCGCCGCATATTTTATCAGCACTTGTGCCTCATCTGCGCACACACTTGTTGACTCAGCGTGCACACACCCCATCGGGGGGAATCAAGTGCGCACACAGGCCCTTTCCCGAATGTTGCTGCGTATTCCAAATTTCACCCCTGCATTGCTCACTTAAAAGTGTAGTCAACTTGGAATGGCCACTTCCTTCTCTATTTTTTCCCTCCAGTGGCTCACCAAGGGGTGAGTCAACTTGGAATGAGCACTTCCTTCTCTAAAATTTACCCCTGCGTTGCCCACAAAAGGGTGAGTCAAGTTGAAATGGCAACATCCTTCTCTAAACTCTACCCTCGGGTGGCTCACCAAAGGGTGAGTCAACTTGGAAGGGCAACATTCTTCTCTAAATTGATCCCCCTGCATGGCCCACAAAAGGGTGAGTCAAGTTGAAGTGGCAACATCTTTCTCTAAATTTTGCCCCTGCATGGCCCACAAAAGGGTGAGTCAACTTGGCATGGCCACTTCCCTCTCTAAATTTTACCCTCCAGTGGCTCACCAAAGGGTGAGTCAACTTGGAATGACCACTTCCTTTTCTAAACTTTACCCTGCCCACAAAAGGGTGAGTCAAGTTGAAATGGCAACTTCTTTTCACAATTTTACCCTCGGGTGGCTCACCAAAGGGTGAGTCAACTTGGAAGGGCAACATCCCTCTCTAAATTTTACCCCCGCATGGCCCACAAAAGGGTGAGTCAAGTTGAAATGGCAACATCCTTCTCTCAATTTTACCCCTGCGTGGCCCACAAAAGGGTGGGTCAACTCGGCATGGCCGCTTCCCTCTCTAAATTTTACCCCGCATTGGCCACAAAAGGATGAGTCAAGTTGGAGTGACCACTTCCTTCTCATAATTTTACCCTGTGCGCAAAAGGGTGAGTCAAGTTGAAATGGCAACATTCTTCTCCAAATTTTACCCTCGGGTGGCGCAACAAAGGGTGAGTCAACTTGCAGCTTTCCTGGCCACTGCAGGCAGCACAGGTCCGTAAGCTGGCTCGCTGAGTAGCTGGCCAAATGGGGGATAGAACAGGAGTTCAAAAGTGGTCCTTGTTGTTGTGTGTGTTTTTTGGGAGATGCATCAAAAAATGCATTAACATAGAATACATAGATGCATCAAACAATGCATTAACATAGAATACATGACAACACTTGCCATTGCAGGCAGCACAGCTCCGCAAGCGGGCCACCTACAAAAGCCATCGAAAACCAAAGGCAAAAGCCACCAAAACCCAAGAGCCACCGAAAGCGAACCTTCCTTCCTGCCTTGCTGCCTTTCTTCCTTCCATCCATCCTTCCTTGCTTCCTTGCTTCCTTCCTTCCTTCCTTCCGTCCTGGCTTCGTACCTTCCTTCCTTCCGTCCTTCCTTCCTTCCTTCCTTCCTTCCTTGCCTTCTTGCCTTTCTTTGTTTCTTTTCTTTATTTTTTTATTGATGCATTTTTATTTTTTTCTTGATGCATTTATATTTTTTTATTGATGCATTTATATTTCTTTTTTGATGCGTCTCCCCGCGCAAAGGGTGTTACTACTAGTAAGGCACCTGTTACTACTAGCGTGGCACTTGTTTCTAATAGCTTCTTGTTACTACTAGTAAGGCACCTGTTACTACTAGTAAGGCACCTGGATATAAGTTGAACCCCCTGAAACATGTACAATTTGAAGGGGTGTTGAAAAATAGTGATTACAACAAACTACGCAATATGCGTCGACGTAAGGCCCGGAGATGAACAGGACTATGCAGTGGATGAAAAAAGTACATAGGAAACAGAAAATTGCAGGCATTGAGACGGGCAGGTGGACGGGCGACAAGGGTCTGTGGGGAATGATAAACGGATGGACAAGATATTTGGAGAAACCCATTGGAAGGCTTGCTGGTTCTGTTGAAAAAAAAGAACCAATGCCAGACTGAATATGTACTGTATAATTAAGGCAAAAGGAACCAACCTAAACACCGGACATTAGACTTGACTAGTACAGTATTACCAATTACACCACGGACCGTAGACCCCAAACAGTTTTCGGCCATGACAAGAAGCAGGTTCTAGCAGCAGCAGCTACAAAAAAGGATTGACGCAGCAGCTCAGATTGGAAGACAAACGCGAAGGATTGAGGTCGGCAGAGGTTGGCAGGGGGAGACGGGCACAGCCCAGCCAAAGCACACACTTAAAAGCATTGAGCGAAGCAAACAGGAAACTGCCTGCTTCGGGAAAAATGGTGAAAGATTGTTGACATGTTTTTAGATAGACAAGACAAGGGTTTGATGATGTTCCCCTGAATATGGAGGAAACAACGACCAATGGACGCACAAGTCATAGCGAAAAACACTGTCAAGTCTGTGATGTTGAAGTCCTAAACAGATCAGGAGTCAGACACAGACGAAACACTTGAGTTGGAAAACTGGACACGTCTTGAGTTGTCCTTGGCACCTCGAAGGTGGCGTTCTCGGTTTCCGTGGAGCCATAGAAGTTCCAAAGACAAGCACCAGGGACTTGGTCGTAGAAGCTTTGCGCCAGTCTCCGAGGCAACGCTTCTCCCATGCAAACCACGTGTCGTAACGACCCCAAAGGTGCTGATGGAAGCCCAGCCGAAGCATCGAGCACAAGCTCCAGCACTGTGGGGGTGGTCACGAAGAGATTGACGGCCTCAGACTCGATGACCTGGGCCATTCGCAGCGGTTCACCCGCTGGTTGACCTTGAGCACCAGGTGGCTGGCCATGGAAAATGATGGTACCACCTTTGCAAAGCACCGGATAGATCTCGTGTCGGTAAACAGACCAAATCATGGCAGTACGTTGCAAACACTTCGTACCAGCACCCACTCCACACTGCTCGCCGAAGAAGTGCGAGGAGTGTGCAAGCCTGGAGTGGGAGTAGACCACGCCCTTAGGCACACCTGTGGACCCGGAGGTGTAAATCACCTGCGCCACACTGTCTGCTGTGAGTTTAAGCTCAGTGACTGCCTCTGACTTCAGTGACTTCGTCATCTTCTCTGCTCGGGTCCACACAGTCCATTCCACGCCCCTCGAATCCCGAGGATCTGCGCAGACCACCCGAAGCGAGTCATCGGAAGCATCTAAGAAGGCCGTCTCATCACAGACCAAACCAAATGGCTTGACCAGTTGGAGCATCTCAGCAACTCGCTGAAAAGGCGACTGCCGGTCAAGGGGAGTCCATGCCTTGCCAGCCAGCCAAATGCCCAAAATGGCAACAACCTGACGTGGGCCTGGCTCCAAGAAAATCGCCACCAGCGAGCCTTGCCTTCCACCCTCTCCAATTGCATCTTCACCTTCGTTTCCGCTTTGCAGCAGCTGGGCAAGGCTCCTTGCAGCTGCTTCTAGATCCTGACGGGACAATGACGAGACACCAACGGCCCTGGCGACCTCAGCCTCTGGGTGAAGCTGGGCTTGTTTGAGGAACTGCTGGAGAACGCTCACCTGCCGCAGCGGACGAAAACAGCCAGGAACTTTAGCTATTCGTCCGGCTGTTGAAACCGATGCGATGCCCTCTTTTTCTAACCATTTATACTAGTACCTTTGCAAAAGTCCATTTGTCCTCGCAAAAAAAACAAACAAACAATATTGTGGACCTTTCGCCCCTGAACCCGACCAAAGACCGGTTCTCAAAGGCCTACACAAACCTACGCAGAGCGACCTGCGGTTTCAACTTTGCGCGGAAACCTGCCATTCTTCACATATGTCGAACTGAAAATTCCACCCGGGCGACGGCCTCAGGGAAAGGTGCCTCCTCCCCTTGGAGCCCACGCCGGCCGACGGCCGAGGCCACAGAGGCCGACGGTGAGGCCGCTGTGCGTTGAGGGCGGGTGAGGCGGCCACGCAGCAGAAAGCCAAGCACGGCGGTGAGGCAGAAGGCGCCGAGGCCAGTGGCCAGCGCCAGCGCCAGCGCCGTGAAGGCAGTGAAGTCAGGCTTCAGCACAGCTTCCGTACAGGCAGTCACATCTGCCACTGCACCAGGGTTGCATTCTAGCTGATCGGGAAAGAAAGACATTAAAAATCATGTCAGACATGACCAAATAATTGCTTTGAGCCAAAGCTAGCAGTAATCACTGGTTAAATCGAATGATACCTGCTCCATCCTGTTCCAATACTTGCGATATCTTACGACATTTCACAGCTCACTTTCCTGATTAAATCAGGGCGCTCAGCGGTTCGACGCGCCTCATTTTGCCAGATTTTTGAATATCGACATCCAAATGGTTGCCTGCATTCTGCACCAGACTTCGTTGGACTCCAACGAATGGAGGCTAGGTCGCTGGATGTGTGAAAAATTGACCGGGAAACAATCAAAAAAGCATAGTGAGGCTTGCAGCGCAAGCTTCTGAATTTCGACACGCTTCATCCATCTCACCCTCCCGCTGGTCTGAGTCAAACCGGCTTTGGAATGCAAAGAGTGGGGTGTCAAGGTAAGCAGAAACCACACTGCCAACGTAGCACTTGTGTGGCTCACCACGGTA